AAATTATGAAACAGCAAAAATTAATTGGCGCTCCGGGATGACTTGATTGATTTCAGTGGCGCATTTGCTTTTTCAGCTGCAAGAAAACCTGCAGCACCACATCATCTGAAGATATCGATCAATATTATATATTTTTATATCATATAATTCATAATTGTAGCCCGTTAACTTTCTTCAAAATTGGGAGTTTGTTTAATTATTCTTTCATGACATTTTAATTATTCTTCCATTATATTATTGGGAAAAATAATTTTGAATTATCGCTTCCTCCTTTGCGACTAGCCGAACATAGGGCAGCAATGAATGCAGATTTATTGCCCTTTGATTTCTATTTTGGGAGATACTTCAATGGTAAAAATTTTAGAATTCAATCAGCGACAAAGAATTGTTGTAGAATGGCTTCGGAAATGCTTCGCAATATGAGACAACATTGCGAACAAAATCATCAGTATAGAATGGCCGCAGGTAATGATGGTTATAACTTTGAACATTCAATCAATTCATATGACGAGAACCTGTCATTGGCATCGCTTTAGGCTTTAACAAACAAAGATTGAACACCTGGGTGGCAAGAAAATTTATGGACTTATGGCAGAATCTTCCAGGAGTGGCTCACTCTAAGGTGTTTATTTACCCTTCAAAGCTTTATACCAAACAGTTATTGGACTACAGTAGGGATGAACTACGATGTCTAACAGGCCTTCTTACAGGTCACTATCATTTGAATAATCATGCAAAGACTCGGACTGTCGGAAGACAGTGTGTGTCGCTCTGTTCGGAAAATAATGAAACAGCAGAGCACATACTTTGTGCCTGCCCCGCTGGGGACCGAATCAGGTTTTTAGAGTTCGGCAGAGCCGTACTCTTACCTTCTGACCTGAAAGACCACTCAGCATACAAACTAATCGGCTTCGTTGAGAAGTTGGGTTTATTTGGTCGAGTGTGAATGGGTGTGAACCTTGCAGGTTGCGGTGGAGAGTCGAATGAACCCACTCACTTTGGACCTAACCTAATTTAACCTAAGCATCCAAACAAATTCAAATTTCACAACGAAATTTTCTACTAAATTCTTGGGCGGAATTTTGAATTTCGAAGACAAGCGTCAAGATAATTTCAAATTCTTGAAGACATCTTATTCGAACCTCCTGCCATTGAAAAATTTGAGAGTGATTGTTATACTCGCCTGTAGATGGAAGTGGTGGAGTCAAAAATACTACAAAACAGTGTCTCCCTTGAATAAAAATTGACGGGTCATTCCGTTCTCATAGAATATTATCGTAGTTCCTGATAACATCCTGTATACTGACACTGTAGAATTGTAGCCTCTGGCGTAAGTAAATTCAACGGAAATATTTATTCTACACAAGAACTGTGGCACTCTTCTTGACTCAGGTTTCACCAACCAAGTTGCATCACCATGAGAAGAGTGTGGAATAAACTTCCATGTTAGAACTCTCCTTGGTCACGCCTGAAGAAGCTACTGTATAGTGAAACACGTGTTGTTGAATATCTCACAATAAACTATTCATTACTCTAATACATTAGTGATTTCGAATTTTTCGTAGGAAATTTAGCATTCTTGAATAAAAAAAGAAGGTAATCATTCACTTCAAGTTGTGGCTGATTTCCGATATTGGCTGACAATGAAACCCATTCGCAACAAAGCGATTTCTCTAAGAAATATTTTAAATCCGGCTACGTCGCAGTTCAAAGAACGTGTTGTTGAACCATAATAAAGACAGGTATACTGGGAATCCCATTTTGCAAACTCCCTCTCTACGCCGCGCCGGTCTGATTCAAACGTGGTTCCCCAAGTGACGTCACTAACACATAGTAGTTTACGGTGCCGGTGAAACATTCGCTCGTCCCAAACCGGCAAAGGATTTGGAAAGTTCCTTAATCATTTCTATGCATTTTAGTAAAATTATCGGAATTGCAGAATCACGATGGGTTTCTGTAATGTATATCAATGTGATGTGTGTCTAGCGAGGAAGTCAGTTCGCTCGTTGCCTCTACTCGGTTATGAAAGAATTTTAGCTTTGAAATTGATTAACAGTGCCAATGAATATGTGAGTACAATTTTGAGTTATCTCATTTGTATCAGATATTTTTATTATAATTCGGAGGTGGGGGTACCAGTGATACTTGAACATTTTATTGAGAATTTCTGTCAAGTAATGAAAATATTTTCCTGATCTGATCTTGATTAGGTATTTTTTTAAATTGATAAACAGTGCGGATGACTATGAACTACTTGTCCTAAATCGAATCGGATTTTTTTTATAATTTCGGTGAGTCGATTTGGAGGTGGGGGTAACCGTGACACTTGCAACTTCAATGAGAATTAGCTACTATTTGGAAATGTAAACATTTTTGGATCCGACTAGGACTAGGCAATTGTTTTTAGATTTATGTTGATGGTGACTGATGATACTTTCATAAAAAACTGTGTAACATGGAAATGAATGATGAAATTTTGAAGCTATCTATAAGTCAAATGGAACTTGTAGTATTTAGATAAAGTCGACCTGTCTCAATAGATAGGGGTTAAGTTGAAATCATCTGTGGAGTTACATCAGATTTAGGATTTAATGTCATCAAGTGAATTATTGTAACCTGAAATAAAAATGAATTCGTAAATGTTTTTCTTATTAGTTAGTGGGCTATGCTTGAAGACAGGCAGTAAACAAATCTAAAGAAATGAAATGTTCAAGCCCGTCTCGGATATACCTACACAGTAGGTATATCCAATACCTACACAGTAGGTATATCCAATACCTACACAGTAGGTATATCCACTGCACTGACGCCTGTCGGATATAATCCAACGCCGTTCGTGATATTAGCCAGTGGAGTAGTTTTTTTCTGATAGGCGAGACGGGCTTGAAAGTTCATTTCTTTAGCCTTTCTTCAGGCATAGCTCACTGACTAATAAGAAAGTTTTTCATCATTATTCAAAGGAATCGGGCAAATTTCGGATATGCAGTTGGTTAATACCTCGTTCACGAGATGGAGTGACATTTTCCATGTTCGCTCCAACTTAAGACGAGGAATGAAATACTCTGAATGAATTTCGATTTTCAATGATATTGACTTTAGGTCGATGATGGTCACTATCTTGCACTGACGAGTGGCTAATAAGCCCGAAACCAGCCTGCAAGTGTGACCGTTCCAATTCGTAAATTGTTTAACAATAAGTGAAATGTACATTATACACAAACAAGAAAAATGAAATAAAACAATCAAGATAATTGATGAAAAACAAAAAAAACGCGACGTTTCGATTGTTTTTGAAATTTTTGAATCCATATTATCATCATTTATTCATTTTTGCTTATTTTTTCTGTTTCAACTAAATCAGCTGAATATTTCGATCCAGTAATTTGTTTCAGTATTCTTAGTAATATCAATTTTTTTCCTTTTTTTTATTGGTTCCTCCTAAGATTTCAAATTTGTTAACTCCTTTTATGGAGTATGGAAGTCCGAATTTGTAACACACCTAATCTATATCTGCCTAATCTATATATTAGGAGGAGGAGGAGAGTTTTATAATGGAATATCCTTTACTCTAATAATAAGTGACTTGAAGTCGACAAAATCGTATTTTCTTTATAAAATTTGCAAGGTAATCTATCCTCGGAAAATAACCATGCATTGTATGTTTTTTAATTGAACTTCTTCACGCGCGCTTGACTTGAGAAGTAAGCTGGCGAATGCGTGACGAGAGCGTAACGAAAAGTGTGATCGGGCGAGGCGAACGGAAGTTGAGAGGGAGGTGTACGTTAGTGAAGATAGAAAGAGAGAGAGTAACGTATATTACTGTAGGGGCAAGAGAGAGGTGCGAGCACACATTTACGATCGAATAGGCTCTGAAGAATTAGGAGACAACTATCATACGTTTCCCCTCATTTTAGCAGAATATTTCAATGTTAATTTCGCGTCCGAAGGTGGACAACCCTTGGTAAACAACTTTATACAAGATAAATTAAAACTACAAATCAATAATAATCGAAATGAGCCTATCAAAGACATGGAACAACATTCCATGCAGTTTTCTTTAGATATCTTTCTAATTTTTATTCGAAAACATATGTATTTTATTTCTCATACTATAAGCCTATTGTCTCGGTCTTACAATCAACTACAGTATCCGATAATGAAAATAATGAATAAAAATTAAAAACTATTCAAAAATGGTAATTAATCAATGAAAACCCATAATGAATATTTGTAAAATATCACTTCGGTCGTGTGGTTTAAAGCACACGCGCTTTTTTATATTTTGTTCTTTACAAGTAAGAGCTATAATTTTATTATTTCAGACATATAGGTATTTACTACCATTCTTTCGCTTTCACTTTATTCAACAGGTTTGACAGGAGATCCAATTTAGGGATTTATAAACGAATTAAAAAATTAGAAAAAGTCAATTTTAAGTAACTTCTCTATTCCTCAAGAAATTTTCCTACCAAAAACCATACTTATGAATTTTCCTAGGGACTTCTGTTTGCCAGAGTAGGTATGTTCCAAGAGAAAATTCTACTGAATTTTCAATTTTCATCTGTATAAGGTCCGGACAAATACCTAGAAAACTAATTCTTCGATTCATTTTAGAATCAGAAGTCGCTAAATGGGATATTTTTTCCACATAGGGGACTTTTTGACTTGTTAGCCCCAACAAACACTATGTCAGCATAGTAGAAAGGATTTATTATTTTGTTAGTTCCAATGAATTAATTCTGCTGTGAAAGAAAAAAACATCTACAGTTTCATACTGAAGATATTTCCTTTTTAGCATAAAATTCTTGGAATTTTTTGTCAATTTCCTGTGATAAATACCTCCTTATTTTAGTTGTTTCAATTGAATATAGTATAGTGTTAGATTGTTGTTTATAGGTACGTACAATATTCAAATGACCATAATTTATTCTCCAATGTCAACCGCATCATTAGCCTGAAGATGCATTGAATATTCCCGGTATGATCACTTGCACTCCTTTCCCATGTAAAATATTTTGTTAAAAACTCTCCACCTACTACACGCTTGATAAATAAAAAATAAAGAGATCCAATTAATTTCAGCATTTCATTCACAACTCAAGTGACGCAGCTTGACAATTTTAAGTGGGTACTTCAATTTTCAATGTTATTTACATTTTGGAATGAATTGATATTAATCTCAACAAAAAGGCATTTTCTGTCGCTTATGTATTCAAAACGTATTCGCCTGTGATTCAAATACAATTATTCTGGCGTTTAAACGATGACGTCATTTCAACTATAATTTGAAACGTATTCATGATGATTCAAAACTAGCCTGAGGTTGGTTTTGAAACGGAATTTGACGTTATGTTACGTTAGTTGTCAGTTTCTGATTTATTTTGATCATTATAGTTTATAAAGTGCTGATTTTTTTTATCAAATATGTTGTAAGGATGTACAAAATTAAGTTGCGAAATTATTACTTGCCCAAATCTGATTCTAATTGAGGTTAGAGAAAATTGAAACAAGTTTGTTTTTATTATTAAGTTTGACATATGACACAAATTGAATAAGGGCTAGTTCATGTTGGAACGAACATCGCATAAAAAGTGCGATTTAAAATGGCGTCTTGTTTATCGTAAAAAAGTTGAAAAAATTGATCTTTTTTGCGATTTCCGCAAAATTTCAGACGTCAACATACAATAAGGTTATATTGCTATTTTATTTGACTGTTGCTTTTTAAGCCCATACATCGAAATTGAATCCGAAATAAACGAATGTGTCAGGTTGTTCAAATTATATCAACTTTACCATATATATAAAGCTTCATTGAGAAAACCCCGTCGTTATGGCGTGAGAAATATTTTCAAAAACAGAAGAAAATATGGAGAATTAAACAAGTTTGTTTTTATTATTAAGTTTGACATATGACACAAATTGAATAAGGGCTAGTTCATGTTGGAACGAACATCGCATAAAAAGTGCGATTCAACATAACCATATGTCGGTGGTCGTTTGTCATTATTCAGGTTCATGTAATCAAATTTAAAATTCAACAATAACATCCCTAGATATTACCCGCTTCAACATGAAGAGGGTATTTTGGCCATTGGGTCAAATTTGCGGAACGGCAAAAATATTATCGCAATCGTTCTAATGTGAACTTGCCTTAACTCCATTCTGGCAAATCTCATTATTAATGACGTCACTACGAATCGTTTTTGAATACACGTCCGAATACGATTAAACGCCAGAAACCACCTCAAAATACGCGCTACAGATTTCGATTCTTTCACCATCTATCAACACGTGTACAAAGTTGGGCCATTCTCATTTCTGGCGTCGAGAGTTTTTGACAAAATAAAATATAATCTATTAAAACACTAGTCTTAAATGGTCATGATGATTGAAGTTTTCCGTAAGTTCGTTCGAATGTTTACAGTTCAATGTGTACAGAACTTTCATTAAAACAAAATCAAACGCTCAAAAATCAATGAATTCCCATTCCTTAAAGAATTCAAAGCCCAATTCCATTCTTTGCTAAGAGCATCTGGAGGCATTTCTTTCGCATAAGATGGCCCTGTGTTATACACAGGTCTATTCAAATTCAATACTATCCATGGGGATGCCAAAAACGGTAAGATATAGTTAAATTGTGGCAAAGTTGCTTATTTTTAGGTACTAATTAGTGATAATGAGGAATCGGTTCTAGTTCTTTTGGCAGAAGAAGCAGAAAATGGTATTCCAAAATTTTCAGTTTTTCCCGCACATTTCCGGTTTTCCCGCACATTTCCGGTTTTTCCTGCATATTTCCGGTTTATTTCTTCATATTCCCTAAATTCAAAGAGCTGAAGTCGATTTTTCAGTAGTTTTTGAAAAAGGAAACTGCCACAATTTAACCGAATCCCTATTGTTTTCCAAATATCCATGCATAGACTGGAATTTGAATAGTCGTGTGAATTTCTTGACTTTGATTTTGCTCCACTGAAAGACTTATAATAATAATAATACTAGTTCTGAGATATACTAACAAACATAATTAATCGTTATGTTTACCGCAGTCAAGAACGAAATGTCAGGCATAAAACCTTGGAGAATATATACGGCAAAATATCCTGGAAAATAACATTGACACAATTATCTCTGACCGTGAAAGTTTACAGTCTTCAATTGGGGAACTGGAAAATATAGAAAAACTCATCTCTTTTATCTTTAGAAATTAGTGTTTTCATGAAGACTTATCGCTCTGTTTCTGGCACGGAAATTCCAATGATAAATATTGTGCAATATGCAGGAAAAAAGGATATGGGAAAGGATTACAACCTCCACGTACCGGATTTTCCTACTGATATTGAAACGCAACAAATGCGGCAAATCGAAGTATTTCTAGATCGGAGAAAACACAGTCTCTCAGAATATTTAGGGAACTTTATTTACCCCCAACAAACTACACAAACAACAAACTAAGTGATCTAAAAATATGACACTGTCTGAAGTAAACAATGCTGAAGTATGGTTCCAGGTTCTGAAAGTATAATATCTATCAAATTCAAAATCAATCTATTGAAAACACTTTTTCCACACGAAAAAACAAAAATACTGTCTCTCTACGCGCGTTTCGCTGAACATCGTCAGCATCATTAGGAGAAGACTAAGACTAGTCCTTTTTAGTGAAACGAGAGCGTCGAGAGACCGTATTTTTGTTCTGGTGTGGAATAAGTGTTCTCAATAGATTCATTACACCATATGGTCCAAATTCAACTCATCAAACATTAATGCATCATGTTTTTGTTCGTATGATTCATGAATTATACTTCAACTTTTTGCTCTACAGAAAGTCATAATAAAAATCAATGGGAGCGTACAACTACACTTTCGCATTCATACTTACAAAAGTTATCTATTTCTTAAATTTCATCTTTGACATCTTATGAAAATTCTGCTCTTTTAATACACCCTAAGTTTTTTTAGCAGTGTTTCTGTTCTACTATGGAAATAATTGATTTTCCTCAAACTAGTTGTATCAACCTTTTAAAAATTATGATGTCTCCAGAGGGTTCATTGTTCTGTGTTTATTAATATCTCCAGCATTATAACATTTTTTCAACACATACATTTTCATGTATACATATTTTATATTTTATATACCTACATATTCTCACCAAAACTACGAAACAAATAGCATTCATGTATTTAATTGTTTTTTGAACTATTACACACTCCAACCTAATATAAAGTAAGTTTTTTAAGTACTCAGCCAGCACCTTCAAAGTATTAATTTTATAGATCTGAAAATGAGTATCAGAATCAAAATCACTTCAATATAAATAACGAACAGCACACATATGTGCTGAAAACTGAGAACAGCCATTTATGTACCATTTGAATCGTTATTAGTCATTGAATGATTCATATACAGTGTACTTAGATGTCGTTGAGAATTCTCAGAAAAATCATTCAACAGGCACATCAAAATTATAGCATTAGTTTTACAAGAAGATGAGATGATTCATATCGTATTCAAGGGAAGTCAATTGCGTAGAAAATGATAATTATGAACAAATGAACCCCTTCTGGGAAGCTTATTATTTTAAAAATAACTTTCTGAATTTTTTGAATCCAACATATTTTCTCAATTCATAACCTTCAAAATTGAGTATGTATACCATATGGTGTAAATATTTGTTTTAAAAATAATTCAGTAGAATAAAACAAATATATTGAGTTACCAAACGCATCTATTTGAATAATACAGCTCGTCCCTTAAAGTCGGGTAAAAAAGAGTCTCGTCCGTTTTTTGCAAATATGTCAAGAACAATCACATATATTCAAAAATTGAAAAGTTATATCTTCAGTTGAGCAGTGAACATACTTGTGAAAGCTGGTGGTTTAGCTCGCAAAGCGAACGAAAAAATCGTTTTATTTTAATTTTTATTGCATAAAACATATTTATTTTAATTCGTTCGTTTGATGAACAATTTGTTGATGAAGCTATTGTGTGGTGAAACATGTGCTGCGGTTTTGTAAAGTGTTTTGTGGAAATTTCACAACAAAGTGTTACTTGAGTAACTTTCCAAACTTTTTTTGCAATAGAAAAAAATTGAAATGCATTTGATTATAACGATTTTTCAAACAATGAGAATGGAAAATTGAAAATAATCATATCAATGTACCCTTTGTTGATGGAAAAAATAAACCAATTGAGATATAAATATTTGAAATGGAGTTATTTTTCAATGTTTCAGTTACGTTTTAATCTGTTGTATACAATGCGTTCCAATTGAATTAAATGTTGAACGTTTCATTCACGATAAAACAAAAAATTCGCTGTCGTTCATTTTAATTTAGAAATCAACATTTCAGATAAATTTCCAGCTGGGTCAGGTATACCACAAGGATTGAATCTAGGTCCACTTATGTTCATAATTTTCATCAATGATTTACCATCAGCTCTGAAATATATTGATCGTCTTCTTTTTGCTGATGTTTTTAAACTCTTCAAATCAGTCGAAACAGTCCGAGACTGCACATATCAGCAAAAGGATATTAATAACATTTCAGATTGGAGTTTGTATAATAAATGAAAGAGTTTTATTATATTGTCGCAACTCAGTACTCGCTTTGCTCATCACGAGAGGATTTATCGGTGTTTCAACCAACCCTCTTTCATCAAAATAAAGAAAGAACTCATTTAAAACTGAATGAAATATTTATTATGATGAGAATGAAAAAAATACGCTAAGGATAGTTAATAAAATAGTTAAGAAAGATACAAAGGATCACCAAAAAACTGACATTATACTGCTACCCAACAGGAACGCTGAAAAGGAGATTCTTAAAATGCTCTGAAACCGTTTCTGAAGAGTGATCAATGAATACTGAATGAATTTCTCAATACTTTCTGTCGATCTTGACCTCCCTCAATGTTTATAAAGATTCATATGTTGAGGTTGCAACTTTCCTCTGCAGCTGCATGAACAGGTGTTTGAGTTTCGTGAATAAGTAGAAAACATTCTTGTTCTCGTTCATTGTTGAAAACTCGTCATGAACAATACTTGTAAAATGCTATTCATCTAGCTAATGTTTCCTAAATTATCCAATTCAATTTTTTTCGCAAGATTTTCAGGACAACTGTCTACTGATTAATTAGGGAGAACATGTTTCACAGAATCTGCTTCAGAATCATTTCTCAAGCTGCAATCGATCCTTCCAAGTGATGAAGGGTTTCGTAGAGAGATTGACCCGGCTCTTACTCCATGTAGTATTTTGATTTTTTCAAATAAAAATATTGGTGACCACTTTTTAACTGGGAACCTATCATAAATGTATTTTCCTATTCATAAATATATGTAAATATTTGAGTTTGATTAACTACGCTATAAACGTAGTGATTTTGCGGCGGGATCCTGTACTATAAGGAACGCTTTCGAAAGTAGACTGTATTATTGTATGGAACTAGATGAAGGTCATTTTGAACACTTTATCCATTGATTGTGTTGCCATTGATATTACTTTTGTTGATTTCCTCAATAAAATGAGAGACAGCAAGTTTTCTGTTTTTTCTCAAATGAAACGTTCAACATACAATTTCTCAATAACGGTTGAACCCATTTCAAAAAACATTACAGAAATAATAGAGGGTCAAAAGACTTTTCAAATGGTGTATCACCCAATAGCACTTGTGATCTACACTAGTAGTGTAGGTATATGAGTAATGTATGGAAGATTATAAGCTGTCTTTCCTGAAAGGCAGAACTTTTCTCTCTACCAGCAATCTGCCTAGGCCTGAACGAGTGAAGATATCCCTGTACGCCGATGACACGGCTCTTCTCTCATCTTCCATGGGTCGGGAGTTTGGTGTCGTCTACATGCAACGAGCATTGGACGACCTCGAGCGCTGGTACCTCGATTGGAAGATCCGAGTAAACCCGGAAAAGACTCAGGCGATAACCATGGGAAGATTACTATCTTTAAAGGATGAATAACTTTTTCATCCATCCCACCCCAGCCAGGTAGGGGTATCCCGTGAAGGGCGGCACTGATGTCTAAGGACTTCATGCCGTCATCTATCAGTTGTGTACCCATTGGCCCCTCTCAAGGCCAACACTCAGCCAAAAGGGTAGGGGAGCTGGTCTCCAAACCTGGACGAAATCAGGATGACTCGTCAGATTATAAGCTGTACTATTTAACAGAATATAATTTATGAGATGACCTTCACAACCTTCGTAAAGGAATTAGCAATACTACCATAAAACAATTGCATATGAAGTATCATTAACTCAAATCCATTAAATGAAAGTTGATTTCGAAACATACATTTTTTTTATTGCCCTCGATAATTTTGACAAAACCAGTCAATAAATTCTATTCTTTGTTACAGATGCAAGTAAGAAAACCACCCAAAAGTTGTGTAACGTGCATAAAAAAGTTGCGTTTTTTCAATACTCGCCTCATCAATAATCTGAAGGAAAAAATAACGAATCGATCTGACTTATCTCAGTTCAAAATGTATCCACAAGGATTCTCACCGTTCAAATCGGACGACACCTTGGAACCCAACACGGAAGAATCACCGGAATCTTATCTGAGTCAGTATTTTTCTCTTACCCCTGAAGAAGTAGGTTCGAGTAAAGGCCAAAGTGAGAGTGAAAGTAGACTGAATGCAGAAGACAATGAACATATGAACATGGAGGAACCTTGCCTAAATGACTACAACTGTAAATGTGAAAATTGTCAAAATAAATATGGCAGTTTACCAATCCTCCTCCAGGGCATTGAACAAAAATCCCTTTCCCACAAGACTGAACCCCAACCATCGACGTCTAGTCAGAAAGTTCCTAAGAAGGTGCTGACTTGTGAATATTGCAAGAAAACCTTCACTCATAAAGGTGATTTCAATAAACATTTGCGGAAGCACACCAGAGAGAAACCTTTTTCTTGCACGGTTTGCAACAGAAAATTTGCACATACTTCCAATTTGCAAAGGCATCAAAGGCTACATAGTGGATTCAAACCTTTTGTTTGTGATCTCTGCAACAAAACTTTCAGCAGGAAAGATAAATTAGACTGTCACAGAAGAAGCAGAATTTGTTCAGGAAACAGTAGTTCTACAGTTCCAGAGTAGAAGCCGTTTGAATATATGTCTTTTATTTATTTTAAATTATTTCGAAATGAATTAAAATATTTTTGGATGAATATCATTGAAAATTATTTATCAAAAACTACCCACTGATAAAAAATGGCAATATGTGGAGGCAACAATGTTCGCACATTTTCGATCGTGAGCTGAGTATAGAGATAGGTTGAAAAAAGAAAAATTAATAGTAAAACATTTTTAAAAACAAGTTTACATTGACATGCTCTAAAGAGAAGATAATACGTTTCAAATTAGTTCAAACCCATCAAATAATTTGTACATTATACAATTCAACCGATATTAAAGTTAATTGCGATATTTGCCTATTTTTTTCTTATAATTACTTATATCAAGATCAACTAACTTGTATATTTAGTCATCTGCATAAGTGAATAATTATGAAATATTTAAAAGAAGTGTTTACTATTAATTTGTTTTCTTTTTCTCAGCTACCGCTGGACACATTCCTTATGTCCTTCATTCATTCAATGCGTCACTGTTGCTTGGTCGGTCCCAACAATATTTGTTTGAGTACCACGAAATTATCCCAAACATCTGTCGAAGTCTTTAGAATTGGTTTGGTAGCTATCTTACTTTCTGACATTTTGATTGTTTTCTGCTTGATTTGATAGCCATATCATGGGGCTGCATAAAAAACGTAGACCACCGTCTTTAGGAGTCCGCCATATGAATGACGTCATTTTACTGTTCGTATTCTTTTCAGCAAACTATTCCATATGCATGAGAGTGCATAAACCACTGAAGGTCATGGCCCTATCATCAGCATAAAACACTATGTGACCGTCAAATTTACGTTATTGCGTTCTTGTAAACAAAAAAAGGATCGGGCCAAGTACTGTTCCCTGAAGTATACCTACATTGATTCGTAGTGTTGCACTACGCTTGCTACCACTTTTAATATTTTGTGTTCGTTCTTTTGAATAATTCTGCATCAGTTCCAAAGCATGACCTCTAATACCATAATCAAACAATTTTTTTGAGTAGGGTTTCATGCGACACAGTATCGAAAGCCTTTGTCTAGTCCATAAATGGTTCAACTTCCATATTAGAGAGTTCGCACTGTACACAAGTTGGATTAGCGATTAATTTCTTTTTCAGTGTTTTTGTTATAGCCTCCGATGTACTCTCGATGATTGTTTTTATGAAAGTTTGACTATTCAACCACTTATTTATCGATGAATCAACTGATGATTCTTTTTCTTCCCTGATTTCTCGCGTGATAACCATTTTTCACGTTTCTGTTAACATTGTTGTGTCAGTTAATATGCAATTTAATCAACAGGATAATTTTCACCTTCCGATTAGCTCGACTAGTTTTATATTCGTTTGTTTCGACTGAGCCCGGTTTATACGTCCATACTACTCGCGAACTATATTACTATACAAGGTGAACCATAAATACGTTAAAATATTAAAGTGACGTATTTCTAAGACAATTTTAAGAAAAATAGTTTATATAAACTTGTGTCCGGAAATGCTTCATTTCGGAGATAACGGGTGTTGAAATTGAATTTTTTGTTCGTTTTTTAAAAATAAGTTATTCACACGAAATATAGTACCCGGATTTTTTTGACGTGAGAATTCATAATTTCTTGAATTTCACTAGTTCGGACTTCCATTGTCTACTATATAAAATGATTTGAAATCCATGAAACAACTAAAAAAGAAGAATTAAAAATGAATAAGCTGAAAATAACAATTATATTAAGCAAAATAAACCAGAAATGAAATGATAGTGAAATGAAATACAAGTAAAATAGAACAATTGAACAAAAATAAATAAAAATGAAGAAATGAAAAAAGAAAAAAATTAAAAGTTGAGAGATTCCAAGTCACGTTAGTTCACTACGTTTCGATTGTTAGTATCTACAATCGTCTTCGGGTGATGACTGGACTGATTCCTCCGAGAGATGACTATTTATAGGTCGTTCGANTAAATAAAAATCGATAATTGAACAATTGAAATGAAATAAAAATTAAAAGATTTCAAGCCAAGTTACTTGATTGTTAGTATCCACAATCGTCTTCGAGTGATGACTTAATTTTTATTTTATTTTAATTGTTCGATTTTCAGTTTTTTTGCTTAATTTTTTATTTCATTCTAATTTTTTTCAAGATTTTTCTGCTTCATATTATCAGTATTTATTTTCAGTAATTCTTTATAATTTTCATGTTCGTTTGTTATTTTGAATTTTTGATTTCTTATATCTGGTCAAGTTTTTCTCGGATTCAAATTTGGAACCTCGGAAAACGAAATGAACTTTTGGTAAGATTACCATCTACCGAAACAGTATTTGAAAAATAAGGTTTTGTCGTTATGACCGAAATTATTCCATATTAGAAATATGTTCCCAGTATTTGAAATGAAAACTATTTCAACACATTGATTGTGGTCATTTTCCTCACAGGTTGAATTCTGCTATCAACATATTTTGCGTTTTGGCTAACATGCTTTGGTTAAGACGCGTTTCCGGGATCTTATATTTTTCTGGAAAGTGTGGAGAGAAAACGATGCTTAGGTTTCGTAATATATTTTTTGTCTCTGTTAGCAGATCCAACAGAAAATTATTCGGATCATTTTTCACGAATCTTTCTTCTACTGGGTCCTCCTTGGGTTAGTATGAATGAAGGATATCTCAATAACAACTCCTAAAAGAATTAAAATACGATATGATTCGAAAAAAATGACAACGGAATGTAATAAGAAATCAAACAAATAAATAAAAATTACAGCTTTATTTGAAACATTTCTAAACAATACATTGACTACTATATCGCACTGCACATACGATTGAGAATAATGGATTTTCTTTAATAAGTCGCATTTTCATGTTCGTTTTTCAATACGGTTTAATAATTTATATTTCACATTACAAATTAACACTGAAAAATAGTTCTTTAACGAAGAATAACCAGAGAAATGAACCTAGTAATTTTAATAATCAATTGTCATTGATGATCTCCATTGTTAGTGTATTGAAAATTTAATTAGCACCTTCCGATGACAGTCCAGATAAATAATCAGAAATCTGAAAACAAGAAAAATTAACTATTAACGAAAATGAAAATGTTGTGTCTAGTCGTCAGTCACTATTGTTGCAGATGATAAGCTCATGGCATAATTAAATAAGAAATTCAATTCATTGTGTTATGATACTTTTAATGCATTTTGGTAGCTTGAAACATGATATTCAATTACGGAGAAAATGTATAATATTCCTTGAACTGACTAACGGCACTTTCGAGATCGTTGCTCTTCCTATGGGAAATGTTATAAAAGAGTTCTTGGCAAGGTCATATACTTACGGGGCTTTCCTCGGATCTTTTGCCGAATCGTAGACGTAGAGATGGAGCCCGTTCAACCTGAAAAAGAAAAAAAGATATACTACTTATATTAATATTAGTTGTTTATGTGTACTGAATACATAATAATAATAATAGTTTTCGACACTGAACGAGTGTGACACAACTCTGTCACCGAGTTGGAACCCGTTCAGCATACCGGCCTACCGCACTAAGGCCGGATAGATGCAGAAGGCTGTCATTCTTGGCTCACTGCGCTTGCACAGGGCACATGATTCTCGGACCCAATGATCACTTACCCCACGGTGTGAGGAGTGGTCGTTGGTTGATAATGCTGGCGCGCCCTCCCGAATGTATCGGGGCTTCGGGGGATAGGGCCTGACCAACGCATACTACGGTAAAAAACCAATAATAATGATATATTTATTTACCATTAGACACAGATAACATGT